AGCCTTTTTCGTGCGGTAAGGTTTATATATCATTGAGAGCAATGTAACGCAGTCACAGATTTAACGTCAGTTAAATACAAAATGCAGTAAACTTCGTTTTCAGCAATTATTATTACTGTTCATCGATGTATGGATCATTATCTTTTTATGATGAACCATTAGTGTAAGATAATTTAAGCAAAATAGAAGGGGAATATATGGGTCTTGGTATGAAATATCTTAATTAGTTAATTACTTATATTCTTTTGCCGTATATATAATATAGCTTTAGGTGTTTCGAGTGCTAAGAAGCAAATGTTCCTGATATTATTTATGGCTTCTGTATTTCATTAGTGTGTTATTGAGTAGAGGAGAGGAAATTCTCAACGTAGTACTACTACTTTTTTAACTTCATCTTGAAGTTCACATAAAGTTTATTCACCCTTTTAAAGTCATGTGCTGTCCTCGTGATCCATTATTAAAAACCCACAATTCTTTCTCATCACATCAGTACAACGGCAATTTATTCTCGTTATAATATTACCACATATTGCAGTCATACTTCCAACAGACGTGTTTTTTCTTCTTCTACAATGTGGATTACTCATTCTCAATTACGTCATTGGATGTGAGTTTGTATTTTCCATAATGTAAATAGCGTTTGTATCTTGATATAGTGGTATAGAAGAATTTCATCTTAAGCCATCGTATACGGGATTGACGGCGATTTAAATACGCCGTCATGATGTGAATCTGTAGGTATTTATAGGTTAGTGTAAGAGCATTTAGCTCGCAGATGCTCTATAAGTAAATGGTCATAGACTTATAGCCTTAGGCAAACATATTGCGACAGACAACCTCTTTGAAGACCCCCCTACGCTCTTTACCACGTATTTTACACTGAAAAAATACATGATAAGCAATCCTAAAATGTGCTCCTCCATTTCTAGTTTTCAAAAAAGCATCAAAATACTTTTTTTGGAGGGGTTGAGAGAGAAGGAGGGACAAGCAAGAGGGAAATGAAACTCCCACTAACTTTTATGATTATCATTTTTTCGTAATGTCTGTAAAAGTCCTAGGATTTTCTCAGTAGTTTGTTCAGCAGTGCACATGTACATTATAATTTCAAATAACAACAAATCTTCTGCAATGTTTCTTTATGTCGAACGTCTCCACTAACTACGAATGTTTCTTCATTCTTTGTTTAGTTTATTTTAGGGTAAGTCAATGAGAACTAGTTTAGGTCAACTGAGTTATCGAAGGCTCTATCACAATACTTACCGTATCTCTACACAGTCGATGCTTTTGGACGTATGTGGGCTGTCAATGTTGGTGATTGCCTATGGTGCCTATGCACTTGACGGCATTGGTTTCCCTTTTCTTAAACTCATGGCTGAGCTTTTCCGGTCAGTTCAAATTTGATTTTCAGCAGATAAATATCAAATTAATGAAATTATCAAAGTCTCGCCTTTAAGTGTAGCATTTGTCCAAAGAGCTTATCTTTGAACTTTTGAGCAGATGTTAAGGAATATTAAGCAAGTATTACTGTATTCTATTTGAGTACTCGTAGGCATGAGTTGAATCTTCGCAAATTTTTAGCTGCTAGATTGCTAGAATCAGCATTTTAGTGGTTTCGCTCAAATGTTCTTCGTCTTCATGGTTCTACTACTTGGAAGAGGACAAAACGTGACCAAAATGAAGTTGTCAAAGGTATAGGTCTAGGCTTCTGATGTAATATATAGCAAATTCCGATTAAGATTGACAACATATCGCTTTTCTGCCTTACTTCCTTCTTCATCACTTCCTATATTGGAATGCTCTTCTGGGAAATCAAGGTTAGTCAGCGAGTCGACACTATGGAGGGTAATGTAATTATAACTTTCAATTATGTAACAATAGCAAAGTTCGCTGTAATTACAGCATATTAGGCTATTACAGCCTATTCACATCTAGGGATGAACTATGGCGAGGGCAATTACAACAGGGAAATAAATCGATAGCTCAAGTTAGTTTTTGCAGGGATTTGACCCGGCGCTTGTCTATTTCCCATCGGAGTCCATTCCCGGTTATATGCTAGCCGGATGGAGAATAGTGGCATGGATTTTCTTCACTCTGAACTCATATCTCACACAAAGAGCTTATCCAGCCAAAAGGAAATTCTACTTCTCATTTGTTGTGTTATTAACTC